GCCAGGGGTAAAATAGGGTCCCCTCTTTACCCCGGGCTTCTGCCCTTCTCTTTTTCAGTGGACTCTCTGGCTTGTACACAGGAAATAGCCAGATCTGCTGCTTCCTGTGCAGAACCTAGGGATTTATCCCAAACAGCTTCTCTGATCTCCTCAGAGCACGTGTGCAGGAAATGTTCCTGAGCAAAGAGATCAAATAACTGGTGGTAATTCTCTGCTCCTTTCCCCTTTGCCCATTTTGTCATCAAGTCACACATCTTGTATACGTAGTCTCTGTGACTCACTTTATCCCACATTCTGAGGTTTCTGAACATTAACCTCTATACCTCAGGGATCATTTGAAACCTTTGCAATACAGTCTTTTAAAATTCAGCATATTTCAAAGCCCGTTCAATTTCCATTTAATCAAATACATGTAATGCTCTACCTGAGAGATTTGCAACTAGCGTGGGAACCTTCTTGTCTTCTGGAATTTCATGCAATGTACAGAGTCTTTCAAAAGTAGGAAGGTATCCCCCCTGCCATCCAATTGGCGGTGTGTGGAGCACAGCTTGTGGCCCTTGGGGAGGACTGATTACTGCTTGAGGATTTTCTGTTTTTAGTTCCCATAGCTTGAGCTCTTGTTGGCATTGCTTCTCTTTCTCCTCCATGATTCATTGGTGGGCAGCTACTTCCACTTTCAGCATTTAGTGGTCTGCTACTGCTGCTTGTTTTTCTGTCTCCTGCTCTCTCTGGATCTCATTTCAGCTACAGTGTAGACACTCACTACAGTGACGGGAGGAGTTCTCCACTGGCGTAGTTAATCCACCTCCCGAAGAGGCAGTAGCTGGGTTGACTGAATAATTCTTCCATTGTCCTAGTTCTGGGTTGGCATGGCGACATCTCCCAGGGATGTGGATTTTTCACCCCCCTAGAGACATAGTGATGCCAACATACATTTCTAGTACAGATCTGCCCTCAGAGTATTGCTAGTCACCTAGGCAAGAATCTCTCATAACCTGCATATGTATAAACCTCTTTTTCCCTCCCAGCCTAGTTAAAATAACTCTTGAGTTATCAAGCAAGGGTCACATTTCCTATGCAAAGTTGCCATTGTACACTGAGTGGATCAAGAAGAGATGGGTGGGGAAGCTGCAAATTCAACTAGAAATGTGGCTGTAAGATTGAAGGTCAACCTGGATAAGCTGTTCCCCCAAGAAATCCAAGCCACAGGTTTTCACCCCAAATTATAAACTACATGGTGTTCCTTGTAAATCAAATAGACTGAGAATAATCTTTCACCCCAAATTAGAATCTGCACATTTGTTTGCCTTGCGATTCAGAGCCACATCCTTCTGTATGTGGAAGATGTGTCTTGTTCTATTAGAGAGACAAGGTGGGGGAGGTAGTATCTTTTATTGGACCAACTTCTGTTGGTGAGGGAGGAAATGTTCGAGCTACAAAAAGCTCTTCTGTTGTAAGTCCTAAATAATGTGAAATGCTTTTGTATAAGCAAAGACTGCAGAGTCTGTCCTCCAAATTGAGAAGATTATAAGGGGTTCATTGGTTTTAATTGTAAATAACTGTTGCACTCGAGAATAATAGGCAGCAGGGCCATCCCTAGGGGGATGTGGGGCCCGGGGCAGAAGTGACGGATTTGTCTCTTCTGGAATCAACCGCGCTGGCCAATCGCACTGGCCTTCCATGGTGCTGCCACCGACCCGCTGCCAGACACCTGGGCTGCGGTGGCCCTGAGACTCCCACCGCCTCCTCCACTCCACGCCACCTCCCATCCCCACTGCTCACTGCATCCCTCCTCCTCGGGACGGGGGAGTGAGGAGGGATGTGGAGAGCCAGCAGCCAGTGGACGGAGCAGGCTCAGCTGGCTGCTGGGTCCGGCAGCTCAGTGGGGGGAGTGTGGCCTTCAGGGGCAGGAGGAGCTGGCGCTTTGGGGACGGTGGCTCGGTCTGGCCTGACTCCACCTGACTCCGCCTGGCAGGCACTCGGGGCACGGCGGCTCGGCACGGTGCTGGGGGAGGGTGATGGCTCGGCCCAGCCTGGCCCGGCGCTGGGGCCGGCCCAGTGCTGGGGAAGGCGGGCGGCTCGGCCTTGCCTGGTGCTCGGGGAGGCCGGTGGCTTGGCCCGACTCTGGCGGGGGGGAGGGGCCTCAGGGGTGGGGAGGCCGGCGGCTCAGCCTGGCGATTGGGTGGGGTGGGTCAGGGGGACCGGTCACAGAGGCTCAGCCCAATGTGGCTGGGGCGGGTGGGCCAGGGCTCCTCCAGTCGCGGGGCCCCCTCAGAGTCAGGGCTTCTCCTTTTACAGGGTGGGAGGGGGTTTCGGAGCTCCGGTGGGGCGGGGCAGAGCCTTGGGTGGAAGGGATGGGGCCGGCAGGCTTGCCTTCCCAAAGCAGGGGTTCACCCGCCACCCATCAGGACAGGGCCTGGAGCAGTCGCCCCAATTCGCCCTACGGCTCTGATAGGCATTGTCTGGCACAAGGACAGAGAAATGTTGAAAAATATCAACCAGGGTAGAACTTTGGGATATTAAGAGAAATTACTTAAAAGGCGGATCCCAACTGATAGCAGGGGCAAGTAATGAAATACAATCGTTGAAATGAATCAAACTTAAAATGCCTCCGATAAGAAAAGGGTTGAATAAATCTGTTATACACCAGCGCCATCTACTGGATACCAATGGAAGCGGCAAAGAAATGAAAGAGCTAAAAGCTAAGCACTCCCTTGGCACGTGTCCAATGGGAATCAGAGGGTGGCCCCCTCCAATGAGCCCTGAAACCAGGGCATGTAAACTGAGGTCACCAGGTGCTTAGGAGAGTTGACTGAGCCCAACACAAGAAGCAGCAGAATCCTAAATGCGAGCGACTCCTGGAGCAGCTGTGTGGAAAGGACTCTCCCCAATCTCAGTGCCAAGCGGAAAAGTGGAGATTCCATCTCAAAGATTGTATTTCCCCTTCTGTTCTTAATATCAATACTTGAGAGTTATTTTGCTGAGTCTACACTCCCTAGTGAGACCTCACTAGAGAGAAGTATAAAAATATCGCTCGAGCCTACAGGGGTGTAATCAGGAAGCCCAAAGTACAATTGGAGTTGCAGCTAGCAAGGGATGTGAGGGTAACAAGAAGGGTTTCTACAGGTATGTTAGCAACAAGAAGTGTGGGACCCTTACTGAATGGGAGTGGCAACCTAGTGACAGATGGTGTGGAAAAACTGAAGTACTCAATGCTTTTTTTGCCTTGGTCTTCTCAGACAAGATCTCAGAGTAGCAGCCGTGTTAGTCTGTATCGCAGGAACAGGAGTACTTGTGGCACCTTAGAGACTAACAAATTTATTTGAGCATAAGCTTTCGTGGGCTACAGCCCACTTCATCGGATGCATAGAATGGAACATATAGTGAGGAGATATATATACACATACAGAGAGCATGAAAAAGTGGGAGTTGCCCAACCAACTCTAAGAGGCTAATTAATTAAGATGAACTGTTGTCAGCAGGAGAAAAAAAAAACTTTTGTAGTGATAATCAAGATAGCCCATTTAAGACAGTTTGACAAGAAGCGGTGAGGATACTTAACATGGGGGAAATAGATTCAATGTGTGTAATGGCTCAGCCATTCCCAGTCTCTATTTAAGCCTAAATTGATAGTATCTAGTTTGCATATCAATTCAAGTTCAGCAGTTTCTCGTTGGAGTCTGTTTTTGAAGCTTTTCTGTTGCAAAATCGCCACCTTTAAATCTGTTACTGAATGGCCAGAGAGGTTGAAGTGTTCTCCTACTGGCTTTTGAATATTATGATTCCTGATGTCAGATTTGTGTCCATTTATTCTTTTGCGTAGAGACTGTCCGGTTTGGCCAATGTACATGGCAGAGAGGCATTGCTGGCACATGTTGGCATATATCACATTGGTAGATGTGCAGGTGAATGAGCCCCTGATGGCGTGGCTGATGTGATTAGGTCCTATGTGTGGGGTGCTGCAGAGACAAAGGCCCTGGGCTCAGCCAGCAGGTTCTCCTGTGCGGGGGGCACGCCTATGGCAAGAGGAGCAAACAAATCAAAGAGAGAAAGGGGGGAGAGAGGCAGAAGACAAGGATCCTTCAGCTATTCCCCTTTCCAGGGTCTGGTAACCCCAGCTCCCTGCCCATCCCCCACTTCCTCATCCCCTCCAGCTCCCTGCCCACAACCATCCCTCCAGTTCCTTAACCATCCTCTCCAGTTCCCTGCCCACAACCATCCCTCCAGCTCCCTAACCATCCTCTCCCAGCTCCCTGCCCATAACCAGCCCTCCAGCTCCCTAACCATCCTCTCCAGCTCCCTGCCCACAACCAGCCCTCCAGCTCCCTAACCATCCTCTCCAGCTCCCTGCCCAAAACTAGCCCTCCAGCTCCCTAACCATCCTCTCCCAGCTCCCTGCCCACAACCAGCCCTCCAGTTCCCTAACCATCCTCTCCAGCTCCCTGCCCATCCCCCACTTCCTCATCCCCTCCAGCTCCCTAACCCTATAGAGCAGGGGGGCCCTTCTCCTCCCGGGACACTGGGGGACAGCCCCTATAGAGCAGGGAGCCTCCGTCTCTGCAGTGCCCGCCCCTGTACCTTCTCCCTGTCCCCCCAGAGGGGCAGGCGCTGGGCAAGGGACTGCCCTAGGGCCTGGAGACTGAAGCGCGCACAGCCGGCCTTTGGCCCCAGGCTGCGGAGTTACATACAGATGGGGTGTATCCGGAGCACAGGCCAGAGACTGGTACCAAGGCCAGTCCCCCAAGGCTGGAGATGGCCACCCAGCAGGGAGGAGCTGCTGCCTCTGGGCTCCACTCCCAAGCTGTGCCAGGGCTGGAGGTGCCAGGCACCGTGAAGCTGGAGAGGCTGGATGGAGCCAACCCTGACCCGGGGGACAAAGTGGATCAAGCAGAGAAAGGCCCTGCAGCAGGGCAGTGCTGGGTGACTGGGGAGTTCCCAAGTTGGCTGGTGCTGAGCGGCAGCAACTGGGGGATGCCAGCGAGGCCAGTGATGGCACCAAGATGAAAGGAGCCATCCTTCGCCACTACAACAAGGAGGTGCAGCACCAGCGCTTCAGGGGCTTCTGCTACCAGGAGGCAGAGGGGCCACGGGAGGTTTACGGCCACCTGTGGGAACTTTCCCGTTGCTGGCTGCAGCTGGAGACCCGCACCAAGGAGCAGGTGCTGGAGCTGCTGGTTCTTGAACAGTTCCTGAGCCTCCTGCCTGAGGAAATGCAGAGCTGGGTGTGGGAGCGTGGCCCAGAGAGTGGCCAGGAGGCCGTGGCCCTGGCAGAGGATTTCCAGCTCATTCCCCAGGAGCCTGGGTGGCAGCAGCCCCAGGTGAGAACTGTCAGCCCTGGCCACTGTCATGTGATGTGAAGTGGCCATGTGAAAGAGGTGCTGGAAAATGTGGGGGAGAGATCTGGTTTGACAGTGGGGAGATTGCCCAGTAAGTACCTATGTAAGGTCTTCTGCATCTTTCTCTCTAATCTAACATGGGAGCTGGCAAACTTTAGGATGGGCAAGTGACCAACTGAGGCACATGAATCCTCTTTGCCCTATCTTGCACCAGCAACCCACGACTGCTGTGCTGTACAAAACTGGCTTCCTTCTGAAGGCACTCAGATGGCCTGATTTGTGCAAGAGGTCAGACTAGATGATCATGATTGTCCCTTCTGGCCTTAAAAATCTGAGTCTGTGAGATGCTCATGGACCCCGCTTCTCCCCTCTGTCTTCGTGGCTTCACAAGTGAGCTTGGGTGGGAGTGGACAGCAATGTTTTGTCTGGAATAGGAAAAATGTGTTTTTAAATCGATTGCCCCTGGGCAAATGTTAATCCACTGACCCTGTCAGATCCCTGGTCCTTTTTGTTGCTCTTCTCTGAATTTTCTCTACATCCCTGGTCTTTCTGGCAACATGGTGCCCATATCTGTACGCAGTAATTGGGGTGTGGTTGCTAAGAAGCTACGGACTCTCTATCATGGAGTCACCGGGGCGATGCTCTGGAACTACTCCGTGTGAAGCCAGTCAGGACTCTGGGGGAGCCTCCTCTCTCTGAGCATACAGTCGCCAGGGCAAGAAGCTTACACAGCTTTGACCTTCCTGGGTCTGACCTCAGAGCATTCAGCATCCCCTTTCAAACTGTGCACTTCCCACAGCAAGTCTGCCCTGGCAGGGCTCCTGCAGAAGCCAAAGGGCCCTGCACCCCAACTCCCCAGTCAGCAGTGACTCTCAGCCAGCATAAAATGGAAGGTTTATAAGTCAACAGGAACACAGCATAGAACAGAACTTGTTAGCACAGAAAACAGTGACTTTCAGCCAAGCCCATCTTGGGGAGTCCTGGGCCAGATGCCCTGGACTCCCCCTCTTCCAGTCCCCTGAAGCAGACTGCCAGCTTCCAGTGACCCGACCTCAGACACCCCGTTGCTCCTCCTTGTCTTTGTCTCACTTCCCGGGCAAAGAGTCACCTGGTCGTCACCTTGTTGCATTCCCCTCCTGGGTCTCAGGTTACCAGGTGGAGCAGCCTCACCTGCACCAGAGGGTCTCAGCGAAAGTCACACACCCCTAAGGTATTGGTGCAGCACACAGGGAAACTGAGACACACACATTATTCATGAAGAACAGTAAAACTCACATAGGCTCACATGCAACATAACAAGGGAAAATCCCCACTTCGTCACATCTCTCCCCCTTTGAGACCAAACTGAGAGAGGTCACTTTAGCCAGTGGCCTGGGAAAGTTCAAGCCCCCGACCCCGGGACAAAGCATCAGCTATAACATTGCACTCCCCTTAACATAGGCCACCTTCATGTCATAATCCTGGAGAGACAGACTTCACCTCAGGAGCTTGGCATTGTCCCCTTTCATCTGGTGCAACCATGACAGGGCGAGTGGTCAGTGTACACAGTGAAGTGGCACCCAAATAGATCCGGCTGCAGCCTTTAAGAGCCCACTCGAGGGCCAGGCATTCCTTCTCTATGGCCACATAGCTCTGCTTCCGGGACAGCAGCTTCCTGCTCAGGTACATGATGGGTTTTTTCTCCCCTTCTGCATCAATTTACATTGGCAACATGCCCAGCCCTGTGTCTGAGGCAGTGGTGAACACCATAAAGGGCTTGTCAAAGTCTGGGTTTCCCAGCACCGGGCCCTTGACCAGAGCGTGCAGAGCGCCCTCTGGCACTGGCTGGTCCAGACCAGCTTGTCTGGCTTACCCTTCTTGCATAGCTCAGTGATGGAAGCCGACAACAGAGCTGAAGTGGGGCACAAACCTCGGGTAGTACCCCTCAATCTCATTAAAGGCCTGGGCCTGTTTCTTAGTCTGGGGAGCGGGCCAATCTCTGATGGCCTCCACCTTGGTCGGCTCTGGCTTTAGGCAGCCGCTCCCCATCTTGAGGCCCAGGTACAACACCTCTGCCATCCCCACCTTGCACTTGCCAGCTTTTACAGTCAGTCCTGCAGCTTAGAGGCAATCCAGCTCCCTCTTCACCTGGGACATATGGTCCTCCCAGGTCTGGCTAACACCACAGGGTAAAATTCTCCATCCCCCTCAGTAACTGATCCACCTGATGCTGGCAAGTGACCAGCACCTCCTTGAGGCCGAAAGGTAGGACCAGGGATTTGTACAGCCCCAAAGGGGTGACAAAAGCAGGTTTCAACCTGGCATCTGGATCCAAAGGCACCTGCCAGTAGTGCCAGTCCTCCCCCTCCCAACTTATCTAGGCTCTCATCAGGCCCAGGCATGGAGCAGGCACCAGACATGGTGATAGCATTGAGCTTCTGATAGGCTACACAAAATCAGATCGACCCTAGGGACCAGCACCATGGGAGAGGCCCCAGGGCTGGTGGATGGCTGGATCACCCTAAAGCCAGCAATTCTCTGACCTCTCCCTCCAGGGCTGGGCTGTGTTCCCAGTTACTCTGAATGGGGAACACCTGATGGGAGGGCCAGCTCCCATCTCCACCAAATGGACAGCTTGGTTAGTGAGCCCAGGCCAGTTGGAAAACAGCTGTTGGTACGAATGCAGCACCTATCTGATCTCTGCCTGCTCGGCAGGGGTTAGCAGGTCAGAGAGGCGTATTGATTCCAGCAAGAGGCCGGCTCTTGTCTCAGGGAAGAGACCCACCGGGGGGGTCTTCCCCCTTCTCCCACTGGCCACACATGGCCAGCACCAGTCTCTCCCTGTCACATTATGGCTCTAGCATGTTGACATGGTCCCCTCAGTGGCTGTGAGCCCGGTTGGACATTTCCTCCACATAATTTTCCTCATTCAGCTGCTTGATGACCTTGAAGGACTCGTCCCAGGCAGCTTATTCATCCTCACCAGGATGAGAACCCTCACCTGGTCCCATAGGCTGAGCGGTCGTACCAGACCTGCCTCCCTTGGGTCCTGGCTAGGTTCTCCCTGGCCAGACCCATGAGCTCAGTGAGATTTTCCCGGAAAGTCAGTACATACTCCACCACTGATTCTCCATCGGGGGAGGCCTTCCCCTCCCATTCATCCCTCACCAAGTCCAGGGGTCCCTTTGCTCCATTCCCATACAGCAACTGCAAAGGAGAGAACCCCATGGGTTCCTGGGGCACTTCCCTGTACGCAAACAGGTGGGGTAAATGCTTGTCCCAGTCCTGCAGATGCTGGACCAGGAAAGTCTTCAGCATCATCTTCAGGGTCCCATTAAATCTCTCCACCACCCCACTGGACAGGGTGCTACGCCAAGGTTCAGGTGTGCCGGACCCCACATTTCTCCTACAAGCACTGGAGAAGGGTTGACAAAGTTGGACCCCTGGACTGTAAGGACCTCCTTGGGGAACTCCACTCTGCTGAAAACAGTCAACAGCACATCTACCATAGTGTCTGCCTCAGTGGAGGACAGAGCCACTGCCTCTGGGTAACAGGTACCAAAAAAATCTACCCCCACCAGAATGTATTTTTTTCCCTGCCCAGGTTGCCTTGCTGAGGGGCCCCATTATGGCCATGGCCCCCTTCTGAAAAGGCTCTTCTATGACAGGCAGGTGTCTCAAGGCTGCTTTACCTTTGCCCCAGACCTTTTGCATCTCTGGACAAGGAAATCCTGGTTAGCAGCTGTCCCGCCCTGGCTGTGGTTCCTCACACTCAACTGGGTCTATGATCCCTCTGGGCTCAGCTTTGCCCCTGCTGTCCCAGTGAGGGTAGGCAGCGAGCACGCTGCTTTGCTCACAGCATCAGAGCCGGTGTGAGCCACCTCCCCCCATGCAGGGGCATAGGGAATATCTCTGTCCCACTCAGCTCCAGGGCACTGGTTATAGACAGGCAGGGCACCTAAGCTTAGCAGCTCCTTCTCCCTGCCAGCCAGGTCATTTACATTTTCACTGACCGCTTCAGTCTCAGCTGATTGATTCCCTGGATTCAAATTCAAATCCTCGGCTGGTACAGGAGCAGGGCCTGGATCCTGTCCCAAAGAGAGACAGTCATTCCCTAACAGGAGGTCACAGCCAATATCTTGGAGAACCCAACTACCAGCCAGCCCGACCCCTCCTATGTCTGCACAGGAATCTGAGCCATAGGTAAAGGGTAAAAAGTGAGGTGGCAAAGTTTGCAGATGATACTAAACTGTTCAAAGCAACAGAGGGTCCTGTGGCACCTTTGAGACTAACAGAAGTATTGGGAGCATAAGCTTTCGTGGGTAAGAACCTCACTTCTTCAGATGCAAGTCCTGTTCAAGATAGTTAAGACCAAAGCAGACTGTGAAGAACTTCAAAAAGATCTCACAAAACTAAGTGATTGGGCAACAAAATGGCAAATGAAATTTAATGTGGATAAATGTAAAGTAATGCACATTGGAAAAAATAACCCCAACTATACATACAATATGATGGGGGCTAATTTAGCTACAACTAATCAGGAAAAAGATCTTGGAGTTATCGTGGATAGTTCTCTGAAGACGTCCACGCAGTGTGCAGCGGCAGTCAAAAAAGCAAACAGGATGTTAGGAATCATTAAAAAGGGGATAGAGAATAAGACGGAGAATATCTTATTGCCCTTATATAAATCCCTGGTAAGCCCACATCTTGAATACTTCATACAGATGTGGTCTCTTCATCTCAAAAAAGATATACTGGCACTAGAAAAGGTTCAGAGAAGGGCAACTAAAATGATTAGGGATTTGGAACAGGTCCCATATGAGGAGAGATTAAAGAGGCTAGGACTTTTCAGCTTGGAAAAGAGGAGACTAAGGGAGGATATGATAGAGGTATATAAAATCATGAGTGATGTGGAGAAAGTGAATAAGGAAAAGTTATTTACTTGTTCCCATAATATAAGAACTAGGGGCCACCAAATGAAATTAATGGGCAGCAGGTTTAAAACAAAAGGAAGTTCTTCACACAGCGCAGAGTCAACCCGTGGAACTCCTTGCCTGAGGAGGTTGTGAAGGCTAGGACTATAACAGGGTTTAAAAGAGAACTGGATAAATTCATGGAGGTTAAGTCCATTAATGGCTATTAGCCAGGATGGGTAAGGAATGGTGTCCCTAGCCTCTGTTTGTCAGAGGGTGGAGATGGATGGCAGGAGAAAGATCACTTGATCATTACCTGTTAGGTTCACTCCCTCTGGGGCACCTGGCATTGGCCACGGTTGCTAGACAGGATACTGGGCTGGATGGACCTTTGATCTGACCCAGTACGGCCATTCTTATGTTCATAGGCAAGGCGAGGAGCTTCATCCCTGGGACCTTCACCCAGGTCACACAGCCCCTCAGCATCTGGTGAGGCTGCACCACCCGGGCCCTGACAACAGTTCTCTCTGTCCCAGGATCTTGCCAACCCAGGAATGTCTCCCCATTGACCACCACCTTCTGCTTCCATTGGGGATCCGAGGGGCCTGAGCCCAGGAGAGTCCATGCAGATAATATATATGCTGGAGCCAGGAGTGAGAGCGCCAATCTGCCACACCGCCCATCTGGCTAAACAGCTCTATGGCCTTGGGACCCAGGAAGGGGCTGGACACTAGAGCCTTTCTGCAGGGTCAGCCTGGTTCCAACTGTGAGCCTTCCCAAAGGCTGCGAGACAGCCATCTATATCTCCCCGCTCCTTGACCTGGGGCAGCAATTTAGTGTCGAGGTTCCCTGCGGAATTGGCACCCCAGGGTCCATCCCCACTCACCCCGGATGGGTCCTTCTGCCTCTCAGCTCAGCCATCGCCAGTTCATGCTGCTGCTGTCTCACTTGCTGTTCTGCTTCACGCCTTCCCTGTCTCTCATGGTCCTCTGACTCCTTCAATCTCAGTTCCAATTCCATCGGTCTCAGATCCACCGACGGGGAACCCGACGGAGACCTCCTGCTGGTCAGGGACAAGGGTCTTGGGGATGCCCGGCTGCTTCCAGCTTCTCTTGCGGCTCCAGCCAGGTCAGGAACTGGTGTGGGACCTGGGGCTGCCTCGCTGCTCCCAGCCTCTTTCACGGCCCAAGCTTGGTCAGGAACTGGCTCTTTAGAACGATCATCCTCTTCCAACTGAGCAATCAGCTGCGCCTTCATGAACTTCCCAATGCACAGCAGTGTCTCTGCACAGCTCTACAATGTCCTTCTTAAGGAGATGGTTATAGGCCATTTCTTTGCTGTTCCCAAGTTGTCACAGACTCATAGGCCTGTGCGGTCTCAGCTCCCCATAGTCCCTGGGAGGAACCCCTTCAGCTCGACAGCCCTTTTCAGGGGTCCACTCTCTCTAGGGGTTAAGCCGTAGGCTCCTCCACCTCCTGGAACTGCACCTCTGAGCCTTCAGCACGCCTGTCTCTTGCGAATCCCCCTTCGTTTTACTACTCCCCAGTCACTTACTGCAGAATGCTCTGTCCACGGGATGCAGTTTATCCCACCAATGCCACCAGTTGTCACAGAGTCACCGGACAGTGCTCTGAAACTACTCCATATGAAGCCAGTCAGGACTCTGGGGCAGCCTCCTCTCTTTGCGCATACTGTCGCCAGGGCAAGAAGCTTACACAGCTTTGACCTTCCTGGGTCTGACCTTGGAGCATTCAGCATCCCCTTCCACACTGTGGGCTTCCTGCAGCGAGTTTGCCCAGGCAGGGCTCCTGGGGAAGACAAAGGGTCCTGCACCCCAAATCCACGGTCAGGAGTGACTCTAAGCCAGCCAGCAAAACAGAAGGTTTATAGTTGACAGGAAAACAGCGTAGAACAGAACTTGTTAGCACAGAAAACAGTGACTTTCAGCCAACCCCATCTTGAAGAGTCCTGGGCCAGATGCTCTGGACTCCCCCTCTTCCAGTCCCCCAAGCAGACTGCCAGTGTCCAGCGACCCGACCTCAGACACCCCCATTACTCCTCCTTGTCTTTGTCTTGCTTCCTGGGGCAAAGAGTCACCTGGCCATCCCTGGTTGCATCCCCCTCCTGGGTCTCAGGTTACTGGCCTTAGTATACATGCAGGCAGCTGGAGCAGCCTCACCTGTCCCAGAGGTCTCAGCCAAAGCCGCATACCCCTATTCCCACCACGAGATATTGGTGCAGCACACAGGGAAACTGAGGCACACACAGTATTCATGCAAAACAGTAAAATTCACATAGCACATAGCAAGGGAAAATCCCCACTTCATCACACTCTCCTCTGCCTTGAAACTCAATATTGCAATGGCCAATTTTTTATTTCTCGGTTTGGCCAAATCCCCCCTCTCCCATGCAGGTTTACCTCTGGGTTGGTCCCGTTTCGTCTGATTGGTCCCACCTGCTCAAGGCAGTTGTACAAACCTACAAACAAAGGGCAAAATTCCCACCATCATTGACTCACTGTATAAATCAGTCCTGGCCAAACCAATAGAACTCGCCAGCAATATTGATTGGCACTGACATTAGAGAGCATGAAAGAATGCCCTTACTGGGGCTATAAGCCCTCCTGCTCCAAGGTGGAAATCAGTCCTGACAAACAAACAATGTGCGAGAAAATTCCCCTATGGGGCAATTGTGGAATAAGCTGCCATCTTGGTTGGAATCAGGGATTGAACCAGAGACCTTGAGCTAAAAGCATGAGCATCTACAGGTTGAGCTAAAGAAGTAGCATCTGTAGCTTGTGTTGTAACAGACTCCAACTGTGTATGAGTCAGGCAAGAGGAGGATGTGCAACATATGCTGCCCTGTGGGTTCTGTTTGCATGTCCCTCAGAAGGGAACCTGGCTGGAATTTCTATCAATTATCTCCTCCCTGAGGCCATGTCTACACTACTACTTTTGTTGGTAAAAACTTACATTGCTCAGGGGTGTGGAAAAAAAACATAAATTACACTGACAGAAGTGCCGGTGTGGACAGTGCTATGCTGGCAGGAGACGCTCTCCCACCGACATAGCTACCACCATTCCTTGGGGGTGGTTTAATTATGCCAATGGGAGCGCTCTCTCCCGCCAGCATAGAGGCTACGTAGGAGACCTAACAGCGGCGCAGCTGCAGTGGTACAGCTGTGCTGCTGCAAGGTCTCTTGTGTAGATGTAGCCTGAGTCTCCAGCTTCTCTTAAGGTGATTATTGGGTTATTGCTGTGTGCCTCGATTCCCCATTTTCCAGTTGGGGACGATAGCAGTGCCCTACCTCACAGGGACATTGCAAGGAGATTTGCTGTGGTGCGAACTTTGCGGGGACCGGAAGGCAGGTAAGAAAGGGCAGATGGGACATTTGCTCTATAATATCCTTGCCAGCCAACACAAACTCGAGGAGGACGAGCTAAGGGTAGAGTGGGAGGAGTCATGGTTGGCAGCTGGCTGTGTTGAGCTTCTAGGGCAGGGGTCTCAAACTCAAATGACCAGGAGGGCCACATGAGGACTAGTTCATTGGCCCGAGGGCCGCATCACTGACACACCCGCCCTCGCTGCCCTCGGCCCTGCCCCCACTCCATCCCTTCCATGAGGCCCCGCCCGTGCCCTGCCTCTTCCCACCCCTTCCCCGAAGTCTCCACCCCAACTCCGCCTCCTCCTCTGGAGGGGTGTGGTGGGGGCTCAGAGCAGGGAGTGCAAGAGGTGTGCAGGGTGCAGCAGAGGGCTCAGGGCAGGGAGTTGGGGTGTGGGGTGCAGGAAGGGGTCAGGGTGCAGCAGGGGGCTCAGGGGGGTTGGGGTGTGAGGTGCAGGACGGGTGAGGGGTGCGGCAGGGGGTCAAGGTTCAGGCAGGGGGGTTGGGGTGCAGAAGGGGTGTGGGATGCAGCAGGGGGCTCAGGGCAGGGGGTTGGGGTGCAGGAGGGATGTGGGATGCGGCAGGAGGCTCAGGGCAGGGGATTGGGGTGCAGGCAGGGGGCTCAGGGCAGGGAGTTGGGGGGTGGGGTGCAGGAGGGCTTCAGGCTCCGGGGTGGCAGTGGTGCACGCCAGGGCAGGCTGCCTGCCTGCCCCGGCCCCGGCCCCGGCCCCGGCCCCGGCCCCACTCCGCGAAGCAGCTGGAAGCATGTCCCTGCAGCCCCCGGGGGAGGGAGGGCAGGCAGAGGGCTCCGTGCACTGCTTGCCGCTCCTCCAGGTACCTCCTCCGAAGCTCCCATTGGCTGCGGTTCCCCGTTTCCGGCCAATGGGAGCTGTGGGGGGGCGGTGCCTGGAAACCAGGGCAACACAGGGAACCCTCTGCTCCTCCCCCCCTCCCTCCCCCCACTGCAGGGACGTGATGCCAGCCGCTTCAGGGAGCGGTGCGGGGCTCGAGGGGGGCAATCCCGCGGGTGTAGTTTGCCCACCCCCGGCCTGGAGGTAGGCCGGGGGGGCGCGCGGGCTGCTTGGCGGGCCACAAGAAATAGCCCCCCGGACCGTGTGTTTGAGACCCCTGTTCTAGGGGGAAGCAATGATCTAGAGGGGCATTGGGGAACCTGGGGTCACTGCATGCACAGGGGGCGGGAATCAGCAAGCATTCGACACAGGTAAGTTTGCCTAAGGAATCAGCCACATAAGGGATTTGCAGCTCAAGCCAGATTGTAGCAGCCGTTCAGAGGAGGTGGATGTAGAAACAGCTAACCTGGGATGTGTGACCGGTCAGGAGGAGGCTTGAGGACAGAACAGAGGGCAGGGAATCCCCAAACCCTTACAACTCGGGTTATTGTAAATTCTCACATCACAGCCACTCCATCCCCACAAGCTGCCCCTCAGCACCTCTATCTTTCTCCATTCCCTCCCCGCATAGTCTCATCTCCTTCTTCACACAGTCCCAACACACAACACTTTTGACGAACCTAGGGCATGGAGAGTGGCCATGATGCTGAGGACCTCGTCTATGCACCTCAGGGCCAATACCTCTGCTGTATGTTCTTGCTCTGGGGGTGGGGCGCTGTCCCAGGAGCAGCTGACGCTGAGCGGGGGATGCTTGTTGTTCCAGGCGCCGGTGGTGTTTGAGGAGGTGGCCGTGTATTTCACCCCAGCAGAGTGGGCCCCGTTGGACCAGCGGCAGAGGGACCTCTACAGGGATGTCATGCAGGAGAATTTCAGGAACATCCACTTGCTGGGTGAGGCTTCATCCCCCTTGGATATTAGCTGCTGTTTAGTCTCTGGGGTGGCTGGGTCAACTTAAATTCAGGGCTCTTTAGTTTGAAGGGGATCAGCCCCTGCTGTCCCCATAGTCTGTGTCAGGGACTGTCCTTTCCACATCTCCGCCCAGGGATAAGAAGCAGAAACACGTCAGTGGGGCTAATCCTCCATCTTCAGGTGCATGTTCATGTAGACATTAAGAAGTGGATTTACATAAGTATCACAGGGTGACACTGGCCCTTTAAGTGAGCAGGGCCAGCACACTTGTGCCGCATCAGCTGACCCAGATTAGGTTTTAAAAGAGGGCACTTGGGCATGGAGAAGAGGGAGAGTGTGAGGCCCAAGGAGTCAGTGCTAGGAAGCAGGAGCAGCAGGACTGCTCGAGTGTCCTGGGAGAGGAGGCAGTGGGAACCTGGCAGCAGGCCCGCCAATGGGGGGCGGGAGTGGGGAGGGGCAAAGGGGCAATTGCCCAGGAGCCGGGGCAATTTAAAAGGGCCCTTCTAAATCAACCAGGCAGGCCACAGGGCTCCTAGGTGCACGCGACCGCTCCAGGCTCTGTGCTTTGGGGGGCCCTGCGAGCCGGCATAATTGGCCAGCGCAGTCAGTCCTGGAAGTGATTTTCGTCACTTCCGCCCTGGACCCCACACCCCGCTAGGGACGGCCCTGTCCTTGGGGCCCGGAATTACTGTCAGCAGGCCTGCCTGGCAGGTACATAGGGACAACTGCTTGGGGAACGTGGCCAAGGGGGAGCAGAGCAAACTTTTGTGTTTTGGACAATAAAAGTGCCAAAGAGCACTGGCTATGGCCGCGTGCCCTTGCGGGCTGGGGGAAGCTGTGCCCAGTCACAGCAAGTTCTCACCACAACCTGTGAGAGTCAGAAACTGGGCCTAGTCATCCAGGCTGCCAGGCCTGGGTCTTAACCACTTGAGCAGCCTTCTACCCTGGCATAACACATTCTCATTTACTCTCCTGTGAGCAGGTTTTCCAGTTCCCGATCTGATTTCCCAGATGGAACAAAAGAAGGATCTGAGTAGCCCAGGGCCCCAGAGCTCTGAGGAAATGGAGATCCCAAGAGGCCCCTGCACAGGTGAGGAATGGGTTAAAAGTTACTGGGATGGAGGCAGAAGGTGGTATCTGGAAAAGAGACACACTCACCTCACTCTCTCTCTCTTTCTCCCCCATGTCCCTGCTCCCAAGCTGTAGCCTCTCCATTGTGGGAGGTCTCCAATCTCAGTGGAGAGACTCAGGCATTTGGTGCTCAATTCTGACACTCCTCTCTCTCTTCCCTACCCCTCTGTGCAGAGTGACTCTAACCTGGATTCCCCCTTAGCTTTGGCAGGTGGCACAACGAAGACCAAAATAAAGAGGGGAATCCTTGGCAAGAAGGTCCTGCAGGTGCAGAATCACATGGGCGGCCATTGGGAGGGGATGTTTCCTCAAGTCCCGCTGGGGCAAAAGCCTGGCACAGTCGGTGCAGGCCAGAGAGGCAGCGGAGAAATGCTCCAGGGAAGAGACAGGTTGAATCCACTCCCTGGGATAAGGAGTCTGGGAACCTCAATGTCAGCATCACGAAGCACCATGGGAGCAACAGGTGCACCCACTGCAGGAGGAGATTCAGCCAGAGCTTGGACCTCGTGGCGCACAAGAGGAGGCACTCGGAGAAGCCCCACAAGTGTGGGGAGTGTGGCAAGCAGGTCACGCAGCGCTCCCACCTCATCCAGCACCAGCGTGTCCACACCGGTGAGAAGCCTTATCCATGCAGGGACTGCAGGAAGCACTTCAGCCTGCACTCGACCCTCATCAAACACCAGCGCACACACACGGGGGAGCGGCCCTACCCCTGTGCCCAGTGCGGGAAGAGCTTCACGCAGCGATACAACCTTGTGCAGCACCAGCGCATGCACTCAGGGGAGCGGCCCTTCTCCTGCTGCCAGTGCGGCAAGAGCTTCAGCCAGAACTCATCACTCACCCAGCACCTTCGGGTGCACACAGGAGAGCACCCTTTCCAATGCGGGGAGTGCAGCAAGTGGTTTACCCGCACCTCGGACCTAGCCGCGCACGGGTGCATGCACACAGGGGAGCGGCCTTACCAGTGTGGTAAGTGTGGGAAGAGCTTCAGCATCCACTCCACCCTCAACAGGCACTGCCGCATCCACACAGGCAAGCGGTCCTACCCATGCGGAGAGTGTTTCGCCCAGAGCTCACGCCTCACCCAGCCTCAGTGCACTCATGCTGGGGAGAGAGCCTACCCATGCACAGAGTGTGGGCAGGTCTTTGGCACCAGCTCAGAGCTCACCCAGCACCAGTGCTGCATTGGCCAGAAGCCCTACCAGTGTGGTGAGTGTGGGAAGCTCTTCGCCTGCACATCGGACCTGGCCACGCACCAGCCCATGCACATGGGGGAGCAGCCCTACCAGTGCAGGGAGTGTGGGAAGTGCTACACCGTGAAGTCAGTGCTCACCAAACACTGCCTCATCCATGCAGGCAAGAAGCCATACTGGTACGGGGATTGCGCCAAGAGCTTCACGCAGAGCATGCACCTGGCCCAGCACCAGTGTGTGCAGATGAGGGAGCAACCCTTCCTCTGTAGGAACTGCAGCAGGAACTGCAGCCAGAACTCTGCACTCACCCAGCACCAGCTCACACATGCAGGAGGCAAACCACGTCTGCGTGCAGGAAGTGAGCAGAGCTGCAGTGCTGGCTCAGACCAGCAGAGACGCCACACAGGGGAGCAGCCTTGTATGCCAGCAGAAGGTGTTGGCTCAGAGCCCCCTCAGCCCCTGAGATCTCCCCTGCCGGAGAGAGACTGCCAATGTGCCCCGTGTGGGAGCCAATTCAAGGAGAGCACAGAGCTCCTGGCGCACCAGAGAACCCACCTAGGCGCCCGATCCCACCAGTGCCCCGAATGTGGGAAAACATTCAACCAGCGTTCGACACTGATCATGCACCAGCGCATCCACACGGGAGAGAGGCCCTTCAAGTGCGCTGAATGTGGGAGGCGCTTCAGTCGCAGCTCAGACCTGATCACGCACCAGCGTGCCCACACGCAGGAGAAGCCCTACCCCTGCGGGAACTGCGGGAAGCGCTTCAGCCTGCGCTCGACCCTTATCAAACACCAGCACACGCACACGGGGGAGCGGCCCTACCCCTGCGCCCAGTGCGGGAAGAGCTTCACGCAGAGATACAACCTTGTGCAGCACCAGCGCACGCACACGGGGGAGCGGCCCTTCTCCTGCCGCCAGTGTGGCAAGAGCTTCAAACAGAACTCGGCGCTCACCCAGCACCAGCGGATCCACACAGGGGAGCACCCCTACCAATGCGGGGAGTGTGGGGAGCGCTTCAGCCGCAGCTACCACCTGCTGTTGCATCAGAGACTCCACCTCAGGCAAAAGCTGAGGGGGAGGTCGTTCTCCCACCGTCCTGCTCCTTTTGGGAGTGGGGGAGACTGTTTCCCCCACCACCCTGCTCATGCTGAGTCAGGGAAATGATGGTGTAAGGAAAGCCCCTGTGCCTTGACTGGCTGATAATGGAAGTGGGGAACAGTGGATGAGTGATGGAAAGGAAGGAATGGAGCGTCCTGGGCAAAGGGGGTGACTCATTTGGAGCTCCAGAGTTGGCACAAAGGAGGGGAAGTTTTGGCAAGATTGCCCTTTGTCTAACATGCACTGAAGATTGGGTGGTCGAGAGCATCTCTGTCAGCCTAGCACACCATCCCTCTGCTACAGCCCACATTAGGGTGACAAATTATAAGCCTTTAGCTGAGGTTTCTAAAGCAACCTCAGGGAATTGGGTGTCCAAGTCCCTCTTTAGTCCTGTGGTTTTGTCTGCTATGTTCGAGGGCAGCCTCCCATGGGCTGGAGAGCCTGAGGCTAAGCCAGCCCTGAGTAGGAGTGGAGCCCACCAGAGAGGAATGAGGTGATTCAGAGAGAAGGCAGCAGGCAGCTGCAGGGAGAGAGTGGCTGACACTGCCAGAAAGCTAGAGAAGCCCCGGAAGCTGTGTGGAGCTGGAGCTGACAGAAGACTTTGTGTTGGTTTGGGGATGTGGTTGGTTAGCAGTCATCCCTCCCCCTCTGGCTCAGTGGGAGACCACTACGCCTCACTACATCACTGGGGTACTGCCTGCTTTCAGGGGATTAGCGAGTTAAGCGCTGGGGTTGAGGGCCCCTCGGGCAGGATAGGGCAGAGTACACACACAGTCTAGGGGCTCAGGCCCTTAGGCAGGGCAGAGCAACCAAACAGGGAAGGGGTATGGGGGTCAGAGGTCTCTGACCCCTAAGGCAGAGCAGTAGGAAGTCTATTGCCTTATGTCTTGGCTCAGGTAGACAGCAGACAAACGCAGGCCTTTTGGCCTTTGGTGGGGAGGCTGCCACCTCAGGGGTGGGATTGGCAGCAGGGGGTAGAGGGACCTGGGTCCACCATACTTCACCAGGTCCCAGCTAGGGCCCTAACGGTGGAAGAGTGTTCTGCCACTGGGTATCTGGCTGCAACATGTGACCTGGCTTCAGGCAGCAACGCAGCCAGACTACAGTCAGCTGTCCCTGCACTACTTCCTACTCTCCCACCATAATGTACCTGAGACTCAAAGTCATAGAATATTAGGGTTGGAAGGGACCTCAGGAGGTCATCTAGTCCAACCACCTGCTCAAAGCAGGCCCAATCCCCAGACAGATTTTTACCCCAGTTCCTTAAATGGCCCCCTCAAGGATTGAACTCACAACCCTGGGTTTAGCAGGCCAATGCTCAAACCACTGAGCTATCCCTCATCCTCATCCCCATCCCTATCCCTTTGAGGTATGTGGCAAGTGGCAGTCTTGGCAGCTCCCCACCTAGGTCAGTCCCCTACAGGGGTTGAGCATGACACGGCACAGGTTCAGCTCGGGGGTTCTGCAGGAACCTGGAGATATCTGCTGTCTTCTCTGGTTCAGACTTAAGTGGGTTAGAGGAGGCTGCATCTTTATACTTCCTGTCCCACCCCTTAACTTCCAGCGGGAGGGGCAAGCCCAGCCTGGCTATGCCCACCAGGATTCCCAGAGTGGCCCTTCCCCCTCTGGGTAAGTGGGAGTCCACTCCGCCCCACTCCAGCTGCTGGTCATTCTGCTCTGGCTGCCCTGCTGGCTGGAGCTCTCTCTGGCTGCTGCTACTGCAATGCGGGGGGGCCTGCCAGCCTGCCCTCTCTCCAGAGAGGAGTCACTGAGCCCACCACTACCATTTCTGGGTCTCCCCTGGCTGGCTGGCTAGCTGCTGCTGGATCAAAGCCTGCTACTGCCGTGGAGGAGGAAGAGGAGGACTCCTGGGGACTTTGTGGAGGGAGTTTGTCCTTGGACTGAGTGAGGTTACATCTCTGCTCCTAGGGTGGTGGTAACTCCTGTTATTGTTGTGGGGAACACCACCACCCCACTTACCACCAGCAGGGCCGGCTCTAGGTTTTTTGCTGCCCCAAGCAAAAAAATTTT